TTGTGGAAAGGTGCATGATTTCACTGGTCACATGCTGTTCTTTGTAACAAGGCTAGTGTTTCAAAACACCTGCCTCATCACAGGAAGAGGAGGTTCGAACCCCATCCCTGTTCGGAGATAAATGAAACAAGCGGTACTGTAGCTATAAGTGGGGATGGAGTGGACATGGGATTCTTCAGACAAATGCAAAGGGAGGTGTTTGTGTTCTATATATACTATATCTAATTTCTGTAACGATGGTGATTAGGAACAGCTGTGTGAGATGACCTTGTCATTGTTATCCCTCCCAAACAGCAGTTAATAACTTCCATTGAATAGCAGTAATTAAAATAGGTTCTACTCAAGGCTGAATTCATCATTTAACTTTTAATGTTAAAGTACAGACACAAATAGTATGTTGATAATTTATATTAACACCATTTACATCTTTTCCCATGATAGGTAACATGAAATTGGAAAAATGATAACCAACATTATTTTCAAAGTTCACTTTTAAATGCAGAAATGTCCCTATTTAGAGAAAAGCATTCAGATTGCACACTTCCCCAAGACTGTCCATTTAAAAGGAATAACACAAGAAGAAAAGAAACAGTACAATAGAGTTAACAGGGCACACTCTGTCCACTGCCATTCACACTTCTAAATGGAACTCTTCTTAATATGAATAACATATGGGACTTGCATCAATAACACACATCAATAAACAGAAAAGGATGAGCCTGTTTTATACACAAGGTTTAAATAATCATGTGTTACAGGAAATGCAAGACACAGATCCTGAATTCTGGACATGTACTTTAGTTACAAAACAGAACCAGAGTAGACTGTTGCCCTAAAACACCCTGCAAAAACATTTTTAAGGCTTGTGTCCCACACAAACATTTTCTGTTTTCATTTTGTACAGTTCGACCTGCTCTAGAAGAATTGCTACCATTTGAGGATAACCAAAATCAAAGAGAAGGTTTTTGCTGTTACACGTATTTGGATTTCCAAGCAACCTGCTGTAATGTCAGTCGATCCAGCCAATCAAACCACTAAGGATGTGGGACCAAGAGCTGTCACCTGTTTCACCTGGATGCTATAACAATGTGAATCTCACAGAGCAGTTCTGTCTCAGCTATGTACTATTTCCTAAACGTAAAATAAAGAGCTCCCCAAGGGGGGTGAAAGATCATATAATGAAAAATTATTTACAAGACCTTGTTTTGTCACTATACATCACTGTGTAGAGAAAACTGAGGAGTGAAATATTACATCTAGGCACATGTGTTCTGCAGACTATTTAAATCTATTGTTATTTAATTTGTGTTCTTTTGACAGTTATAAGGATTCAGAAGTTTGTTCTTTAAAGACCTAATTGGTTTCAAGAGATCCCAAAGCAGTACATATTCGTGATGTTGTCATACAAGGTGAAAAAACAAGTGTTCATTGTGGACAATGTGTTTCCAGACATGCAATTCTGTAGCATTCAGTGAAGTTTTTATTGTGACTTTTGAAATTTGTGACATCCTAATATCTTCCTGTCCAGAAGAAAAAAAACACAACATTTTGACTGTGCAGCCCACTCAGTGGGTGTCAACATTGTTTCTTTTCTTCTCTTTTCAGCATGGAATAAACCTTGACTTTTTCCTGTGCATGCTGACGTACTGCAGCTTCCTACTTGAACTCTTTCTGCCCAGTTTTGTTCTGCCACTAAAGTCCCGTGAGCCAATTTAATATGTTCCTGTGGGGATACCTAAAGAAAGGGAATGGATTGCCCATACATTACGAAGGACCTAAAGTCAGATATTGACAGTTTGCTCAATTTCAGCTGGCACACATACAGTAGGAATGTATTACAGAATCAGGAGGTATGTCTGATACTGAACAATATTGAAGTTTTGAAACAGGGTAATATTGTGTATCCTTATGATATAGGTGATGAATAAATAAAAACATCAATTTTTAATACCTTATTCATTGAAAGTGAATACAGAGTAAAGTGTTCTCCCATTTTTGGGTCTAACTATTCCCATTCAAGTCTGAATTGAGTTAACAGGTGTGAATGCTGTTGCAGTAAAAACACATGCATAATGGCCTGTACACAATTTTCAACTTCACTGTTACAGCCAAAGCTGAGAATTCAAAATGGACATTTTAGTTTCATGGCTATAGTGTAAAGAAAAAAATATATTTTTTTTGTGCAAGTCTGAGGTTTCCTCCATTGAGAACAGCAGCTTACTGTCACCAAGCGTCTCCTACAAATTCTATTTTATGTTTCTTTCTCTGATTCCATTCTGAGGAACAGCTCTCAGCCCGAGGTTTTGTATGAAGATGGCTGCTGGGTTGCATCAGTTACAAGTCTATGCATTGCACAGCTCTGCTGATGAGTTGTAGATAGAGTTCACCCGTTCAACATAGCTTGCATAAGGCTCGAGTTCTTCCACATCCTGCACGGACAAGAGATGAAAACAGATAATAAAATGTTTAGGTTTTTTTCACATGTACAGTTTGTTTTAACAGACACAGCTTGAACACGCACTCAAGCTAGGTTTCTGGTTATGTTGTAACAAAGAAGCATTTTTGAGAATACCATAGCAGCTGCAAGATGAAGCCATTTACAGAATAACACTTATTTTTCAGATTCATTTGGTGGTAAATTTTCTGTCATTCACAGGAAGACACACCCTATAAAAACATTTCGGTCATAAATCCGAAAGAATTTATGCACATTTCGCTTGTTATATCATCATAACATCCTTTACAGGAAATCTATCTGGAATGGACCTGTATATTGTCATTGACTTGATGAGTTGTTCCATCTGTTATTAGCGGCTGAACCATTCTAAATAAACAAATCTGACAGTCTGATGCAACACTTACTTTAGATGTTTTGGTCCCCACGTTATAGAAAAGACTTAATGCCTGGAATCAGTCCAGAGTTCAGTAACATGACACATTCTCTGCGATAATGAAATGTCTTACTTTGTGGAGCTGAATTAATTGTATTTTTTAAAGTCTTGAGCACAGAAGGCTAAGAGGAACCTAATACAAGTATTCAAAATCCTCACAGACATTGACCAATTGAACCCTGTGGTCTTTTTGAGAATCATCACTGAAATGGAACAACAGCTGTCTCTGCTTACTATCCAGAAACCATTTTCTCGCTCCAAACACACATTGTTTTAAATTCCTAACATCAAAAATGAGACATTATGATTTCATAAATTATTTTTTGTAAAGCTTAATTGTCCTTTTGCGAAGTAATAAAACACCAATTTACATATCTGTGAATGTCTTTTTATCATTCAACGCAAGTTTAATTTAATGTCTGGTAACCACCACAGTGATAAGAGACTATTTGTTTTCTAGGTGTTTTTCACCTGAACTGTAATGTTCTTTATATTTAATGTACTAAATACAAAGGTCTTTCAGGACTGAAGCTGGTGTTTTAAAAACAGTCACAGAAAAATAAAGGTATAGGTATAGGTAAAAATAAAATTGAAAAAGAGAGGTAGAAAATCATTAGGCTAAGTTATCATCCCATGAAAAACCTAAACAGTATCTTTTGTATTAATTTTTATCAAAAAGTGAGTCATCCTCAGACAGACCCACTATTACTATACCCTCTTATGCAATGTTTTGAAGAAATGAGACTTCTTTGAAACCACAGACTAAGACACAATGTTTTGCTTAAAGCATTTGTAACTGAGGAAATGCACGCTTGCAAAAATATCAGAAATAATTTATGTTGGCACTTGAACTGGACAAGATTTGCTCAAGTTGTTTTTTAGAGACCGTTAACTTGCAAATATCTCACCTTTCTGATAAGCTTGAGCTGAATCGAAGATACACACTTAGTGCAATAATTGATTTTTTTTCTCAGTGGCAGTTGGTATGTAGGGTAGATGACAAATTTAGGGGATTTTTTTATATTCTACACATTATACAAAATTTAGAGTGTGAGATATCACTTGTAATAAGGAGATGTCTGTTAAAAAAGTGTTAATTACAAAATGACATCACCTGCCTACACTCATCTTCATTCTGCAAGCTACTGTTACTACCAGTCCTTGATAATGGGGAACTCATCTTTTGAATATGAGTTTAGAAACCTCTCCTTGCATTTCATTTATTCATTCTATCAAAAAAGGAGATGTGCCTCTGCTGGATTTTATTCTTACTGAAATGGAAAGATGACTGATAAAACTCAATATAGGAAACCCGTGATCATATGGCCATATGGACTTTAACATCTAGGCTGTTGATCTTCAGTACTAGGCAGCTGTGGCGTCTGCTGATCCTCAATCAACCAGAGCTACTTACGATTATCTAATTATCTACTGAACTGAACCAGTTTAGTCTTTATTCCTCTGAGTTATTTTTCATTTCAAAAGCTGCAGGACTTGAGTGACACAGCCTTTGTCCTACAGTCTGTTTCTTCCAATCGGCAGATTCTTTCATGAAATTGATTCTCTCATTGCAGCTTTCCTTCTTAAACTGGAAGAATTGTTCATATAGGAGTAAGGTCACTAGCAGACATCTGCTTGTTACTTTATCTCTGCTGAGCAATAACACAATATAAAAAAAAATTAGCCTGCTCATTCCAAATGTTCCCATCTCCTGAAAGAGGAAGGAGACAAGATTATAAGACAATGCAACTATCCATGTGGAATTATCTGACATTTCACTCACCTGTTTTCTGTTGGCTGGAGGTGGTGCAGGAATGCTGGATTTGCAGCAATTTCTAAGGAACACACAATATTTAATTTGATTACAATTACTGTACTAGCAAATGTAGAGTAGAAACTAGCAGGCAGTGCATTTTGTGGGTAATTTTTTCCACTCTTTATTATAAAGCATTGAACAAATTGAGATCCAGCATCACACACTTCAGAAAGAGGTAAGGAAGGTTTACTGACAAGTGCAGATGATCACATCTGATCCTTAAGTGACTTGTGAAAAAACAGAAGAAACAGTGGGGAAAACAGCCAAGAAACAGCCATCTGCAAGAGCTTAACCATCTACTGTACCTAATGATAACCACGATTATGATTTGTTAAAGGGAATGTTCTTCCCCATCTCAGTTGTTCCCTTCCTTTAATTTTGTTTTTTCCCTATACTGCATATAGAAATACCCTTTTAATGTCGAATTCTTACATTCTTTAGACCCCTTCATAGATAATTAATTAAAGTTATGGAGTCAGTGTCACCTAATAGCAGCTTTACTTTTTTCCATAACAACCTGCAAACATAGTGTTTAATTCTAGATAATAGAAATATAATAGTTCTAGATAATATTAGATTTGACCATTACCTAGTGCTTAGAAACATAATCAGATTATTAGACTAACACTTTCACAAAACACAAGGGTTTTGAAACAGAACAGACACCCATATCTAGTAATATTCTTGAATTGATCCTGCTGCCTACAGTGAACTACAAAACTATCAGAAATGCCCTATAACAGTATGGTCTTGTTCTGCTGTGCGCAGTATCTTTATTACACTTAGTAGCAATATTAGTATTATTTAATAAACCAGAAGACAGATGTAGAACAAAAGGCCAATATTACACACCTGATTTTGCTTAGATGTTTTCTTATAAAGAAGGATGCTACAAGAATGAGAACTACAAATCCGGATAAGCTTACAGAAATGATCGTCCACGTGAGAGGGAAAGAAGGGAAATCTAAAAGAAAATAAACAATTCAATATTTTAAGTGAATATCTGTAAATTAAAACAGAAACAAATTGTTGTTTTTTTGTAGAAAAAGATCAATTAAAGAAGCTGCAAAATGTTCATTCGTGAGCAGATTTGTCTGAAAATAATAAAGTCAGAATCTTAAAAGTGACACTGATAGAGAGCACAGAATTGGTGAATGGAAACACTTGAGACTTTACTGCAGTGCTCTCAGTTAATAGTTACAAATTAAATTATTATTACTATCAAAAGTCATCTCTCTCCTTTTTACCTACTTCTTGTTTACATCTAAACTTGGAAAACTAATGACAGACTAAGCAATTCTCTTCACTGTAAAGTTTTTAGTAGCATGTGACATACTTTCAAGAGGTAGTCCGACGGTCTTATGTACACCCTCCTTCCAAACTGGGTGCTCAACTACACAGGACACATTCTGCAGGGATGTGTTGTCAGGGATGCTGGCCGAGCTCTCCACAGTGTATGTGTGATCTGGGTTCTTGGTGGTTTTCTCGGTCCAGTTCGACACTCCAATCCAGGAAATGTTGGCGGCTGGTTTACTGTTTGCTGCTGTACAAGTGGCCATCTTCTGGGTGATGTCATACACCAAATTTATCTTCGGTGGAACTTGAGGAAGAGAGGCAAGATAGCTGTCAATTCAAAACTTACTCCAGGAAATGTTCACATCTGGATATTCTGAATATACGTTCTAAAGGTGAATATATTGTGACCGCCCACTGGGCTTGTTGTAACAGGATCTTAAGATCATATGGTCAAGGACAATAGACACACATATAGCTGTAATAGCTGAAAGGTTAAAACTACAGCTATTCTGTTTACAGTGGAGGGAAAATAAAAACATCACAAACCAAACAAACACCAAACAAAGACTTAAGTTCCTCTATAAGCTACTGACTGAACGCTCTCAAAGACTCTTAGTCCTTTAGGTACCTGCTGAGTCCTTCTCCCTCAGGCTAATACCATGCATAGAGTATCTGTCCTCTGACCTCCAGATTGCAGACTCATCAAATGAGCAACACAGAAAGCTCATACAGGAATCTCCATTTTATCTGGACTAACTGCTTTCTCACAATATCTTATACATTTCATCCTTGTGGAAAGTTGCTTTTAAAACATAATAAATTATACTTACAATTCACTTGTGTAAGGTGAAATGAAAATTTAAAAGTTCAGTCTTTCTAACTGACCACTGGAGTTTCCAGAATCCTGTTGAGCTGTTGAACTCTGAGGGCTGTTCAACATAACTACTGTACATACCACAGTGGAACTGCCTTCAAGAAGAACAGAACTTTCTTACGCCTTGAAATGCATTTAAATATGTCAGCTAAATGTCACGTTTCAGGCTTTACCAAAGCAGGTGCAGAAAGCACTGCAGTGGGATGCATGAGTTTTAGTTCCAGAATAATTTATCTTTGGATACTGAAATGTGATGGAGATGGTTGTAATGATGATAAGTATGTTCATAAACAACTGGAATCTGATTTGTGAGGGACAGTCTTATTTTTTAGAAAACAAAATCTTTCAAATCATTTCTAAGTATTCCATTCCATCATAATGTCACAGTAAAACCTAAAATTTGTGGAGACACTTTATTAAAATCCTTCGATTAGATAGATTTTTCTTACCTCTAGCAGACACGTTGATCTGTGAAGCGTGCAAGCCTCCCTGATAAACTACCTCACAGTAGTAAATCCCTTCATCCTTGTACTGAAAATGAGGGATGTGCAGAAATGTTCCATTCTGTCTGTTTTGTATCCTTTTTCCATC